AGGCCGTACAGCCTGTTGGAACAACATGTGACAAGATTATGCCAATCATTATCAGCAGGTAACCACGACAGGTCAACATGGTACTGATGCAATAGGCATAACAGTGTAGCTACATTTTATGTACATTTATGTTATGCAAAAAATGAAATTTGTTTGCTGTTTGCGAGGCCTTTGATTTAGTGAGAAATCTGAAAAATACTCTTTGTTAGAAAAGGGCCTTTCGGAAATATACATCCAAGGATTAAAAAAATCTGGCCATGCATGAAAAATCATGTAAACCTTACAAATTAGTTAATAGTTGACCTGATGAACAGCAAAGTGAACCATGATTCAAATTGGTCAGACTACCATGTACATGTACTCAGAAATCTTAGCGGATTCATGTAAACGGCAAGAAACAGATTTCTACAAAGATGCCGTGACCGACACTTTCACGCAAACCCATCCTCAATTTTTAACACCATTTTTAGAAACTAAAAAAGTACAAAGCAAAATAAAAATGAGTTCTTACTGTTGCAGTTTGTTTTTGTGGTGTGTTTCTCTTGATGAATGAGGATACCATCCCATGAAGGTTGTTGAGATATCTTGGTTCCTTCTTCCCTGAGGACAGGAAAGTTGCTCGGGGGCGCACAACCTACAAAGAAACCAGAAACTATGACATAATATTATGATAAAACCAGAAACAGGGGTTAAGTAAATGACCATAGTTTCACCATTTAGAGTTAACTGGTTCACATTGGCATCATCAGAACTTTATGGGGGGACCGCTCTGTCTGGGGGGGATTTCAAGGGAAGGGAGCAAATCACTTGACTACGAACAATAAACTAACCAAACAGGTTGAATTTTGTCAAGGTCATCTGTGGGTCAGCTCTATTCTTTTTGTTCTTCTAAACATTTCTAGTCTTTGGTAATACCAGTTTTTGTAGTCTGTTGGTTCGTCTTGGTTTTGTTTTTGTCCTTGTTTTGACTGTATTGTACCGTAATTGATTTGATTGTATTGTACTGTAATTGATTTGATTGTATTGTACTGTAATTGATTTGATTGTATTGTACTGTAATTGATTTGATTGTATTGTACTGTACTTGATTTGACTGTATTGTACTGTAATTGATTTGATTGTATTGTACTGTAATTGATTTGATTGTATTGTACTGTAATTGATTTGATTGTATTGTCTGTAATTGATTTGATTGTATTGTACTGTAATTAATTTGATTGTATTGTACTGTAATTGATTTGATTGTATTGTACTGTAATTGATTTGATTGTATTGTACCGTAATTGATTTGATTGTCTTGTACCATAATTAAACATGTACAGTACATGTTTAAGAACAAGTTTTCATTGCTGCAAGTTACTTATGAAAGATAAGGAGCAGACCTTGTTTGCTGGACATTTAGGTGAAGGTGTCTTGCTGACAAAATCATCAGAGGAACTGAAATGATAAATAAAAATACATATCAAGAAAGAAGCATTGTGTTGGTCATCTTGGGACATGTGTTTTGAGAAAAATTATTTGTGCCAACTGGAGGCATCATGTCTTGCCTATACTTCATACTTGTAGATTTAAATCGTTCTAAATCATTTTACTTTTCAGTCCAACAACACCAAGCTACATGTAGTACACCACCTTCAGATTGATAAAGTGATTAGTTGGATTTAGAGAAATTTCAAGCTAGTCTGTTGTGGAAGCAGGGATTTTACAAGTGCATATGTTAAAACACATGTACATGTAACTTGAAAGATCTCAGTATAATCCAACCATATTGATTACTTTCAAAATCATTCGGTTCTTACCATGAATTATCATGAGACTGGTTATCTGGTGTAGAGTCCATAGACTTAGGGGAATCAGACACTTCATCTTGCTTCTCAAGGGATGATTTCTGATTCTCTGCAATCCTTGAGGCAGCCCTTGTTATTCGCTGCGTTTCTTGGTTGATAGTGGGTGGATGTGTGGACATGCTGTTGAATAATCCACCAAAGAAGTAATGTAATCAAGAAAACAATGCAATAACACAAAGAGCAATCCTGAACACACAAATCTTGTTTTGACTTGATCAGGGGGGTTGATGTTGAGAGTGTGTTTAATCCATTATTAGCTTCCAGTGGGAACAAGCGAGGGGTTGTTTTCACAGACTAACAGTCCTTTGGTGGAAACTCGCCATAAGATCACACAGCTTTTTGTGCATTTGGTGTGGGACACACACCATCACTGGCTGTTTGAATGTGCAGTCTTCAGGTGTGTTCTGGACGAGTCAACAAGACCAGGTGGGAAACTCCCCACCAGCCTGCTTTGTCTTAGCCAGTGAGGGCGCACTCTAAGTCAGGGCAGATTGCGCATGTAAGAAAGCATTATCAATAGACATGTAGAGTACCAAACTGAATACATCACACTCACAAGTATGTGTAAAAGGCATTAGCGCGAGAACCAGCACGAGAACCAACGTGCGCGCGTACTCCCTTCGTTTGTGCGGCATTGACTGGTTCTATATGAAATCGCACTTCAGTACTCTATACCCCAACATCTAAGTTGGATGGCGTTTTCAGCAAAAGGTCACTGAAACAGTCTTAGTGGGTTTTTTACGCATCTACATGTAGCCTGTCAGCCTCAATGATGCAAAGTTTCACAGTCCTCACGTAATGATCTCAAGTGGATAATGTGGGACGGTACTGCGATATCAAACACTAATAACAACCTTACCGCTTTGGGGGTGTTGCTTCTTTATCATTAGGAGAAACTGGAGCATCTTCTTCAGGTAACACCTCCTCCATGACATCTTGGGAGCTTGTTTCAATGCTTTCTTGAAGGACCTGCTCCACTGTAGCTCGTCTAGTACTGGCTCTGGTGCTTGCTCGAGTGCTACAAGGATTGCGAACAGAATGATGTAGAGACTTCCTAATGGAGGTCCTATGCCGATACACAGAAGAACGTTTCTTGGAGCAACTGACAGCAACTGATGAGCGACGTGTGGACAGTGACAAGTTCTTACGGAGACTCTGACGAGTCATACGAGCTTTTGATGTAGACTGGTTGAGACTATCACAAGACATATCATTGTGATTGAGGCTATCTTCAGTCATATTCTGTTGATCAAGGCTGTCGGTGGTCATATCAGCCGGCTTTGGACTTGCTTCTTGTAGCTGTTTAGGACTGTTGTCAGGTGTATTTACTTTATTGAGACTGTCTTCTGCAATACTACGTTGATCAAGACTATCCTCGGCTACACTTTGCTCATCTCCTTCCATCCTTACATCATCTGTATGCTCATCTTGGGAATCTTGCTGTTGATTCTCATCTTCAGATTCACTGAATCGTAGCTTTATTGATTCTACACTGTCAACATCCTTGACGGCTGTCCCTTCATCACTCTTGACAGTTTCAGGAATGGACTCCTGCTCCGGGACAATAGGACTAGGCAGGGATGAGGGTTGCTCCTGCATCTTCTCTGGACTCTCCTCTTTCTTTGATTTAGAATTATTCACTGCATTCTCATTGTCAAAGACTTCATCATCGCTCTTCTCCTCACTGATGCATTCTGGCTTCTCTGGAGCATCTTGGTTGACCTCTTCCTTCACATTCTTACGCTTGTTCTTCTTGGCTGGGACTGGTTGCTTGGCTTTCTGGACAGCTTCTCTCACAACTTGCTTATGTTTTGGCGACTGGAACTCATCATCGGAGCTGGTTACCTGTTCTGCAATAAGGTGTTCGTGATGACTGATGAGGCGTTTCACATGGTCTTTGTACCGTGAGGCAGCATTCTTGCGTTTGGGACGTTCGGTCTTAGAAGTTGCCGTAGATCCAGGTCGAGTCAGTGTTTCTTCCTTTTGCTCTGTGCCTTTCAGAGCAATTGATGAAGAATTCTCCTTGACCATCTGTAACTGTGCTTTGCTTTTGGTTTCATACTCATCAGAGATGGAGCTATCAGACACGGTCGAGACAGCTTCCCCACTATTCAGTCGGAGTTTCTTGGATCCCTTCTTGGTTTTGGAGACAGCATTACGTTTGATATTCTTTCCAATGGATGGATCGTCAGACTTGATGGCCACTGTATCATAAGCCCTTGTGGCTTGATTGCCACATTCTTCAGTGTCCATTGGTGCTTCTGTCGTTGTGATCACACTTGAATCTGAGCTCCTTTTGGGCTCATCTTTCAAGGCTGCCTTCTTAGTGGTATCAACATCATCTGAGCAACTACTTGTGTCTGATGAGTTCAAGCCCTGCACTGGTTCAACAGTATTTTCATGAATCTGGACTTTCTTTGAGGTACGGGTACGAGATGTGCCATTCTGTGCAGTAATTGTTGATCTGGCTGAGTTACGAGCACTTCGTCTAAGTGGTACAGTTGACTGACGAGACTGACAAGCTTTCCCAAGGATAGATGCTCTGCTGCTTCTGTAGTAAGACAGGAAGAAATTAATGGAAATTAGAAGTTTCTAAAGTGCAATGTGCATTTTCCCGATTACTTTTTCATATAAGTCTACCACAACTGCACCTAATAAGTTGACCCTAAATAAATTTAATTTAAGAAATCACTTGTCCGTAAAAAAATTGGCAACATAGGAACATCCTCTGTTGAACCTGTGACACCAAGCACTAAATTCAATTTAGTATCTGGTTACATATATTTGTAATCAAACATCTATTCTCTATGCAAAGCATCTGACCATGGCCCGATTTCACAGCGCCGCTTACCACACGCGAAAAATCGGCGCTTACTGTAGCAGAAAATTCTGTGCTTACGGCGAACGTATTTCACGGGTTAGCACGGAATTTCGGCTTGTGCGCATGCGTACATCCCGTAACTAAGGATTCTGTGCTTAAAGGTTTAGCGCAGAATTTTTCTGCTAGCGCGGTGAGCGCAGAATGGAAATCGTATGCACGGAATTCTGCAATAAGCAGCCCCATGAAATTGGGCCCATAACTTATTATTGCTATTGTTAAACAACTTTTCACGAAGAAAAACATTCCAACAGTCCGTAACTGACCTTTTATTCTTCTTTGGAAGTTGACAATCAATATCTTCATTGTGGATAGTAGATACTCGCCGAATTCGCTGTCGTCTTCTTCTGAGGACTGGGGTCTTAGGAAACATGGCCATCTCTTCCCTATAGTATTGGGGGAAAAGGTACAATTGGTTAAGGCTAATATTGGTAACTGTAAAGTCACCTGACAGGGGTGAGATTGAAGGAAAATGAAATATCCAGGAAATAATTACCAGACTTTACAAGAGATTGTTTGATAATTCCTGAAATTAGTAAAATCTTGATGAAAAAATATCCTAAAATCAAAAGAACCATAGACAAACTTCACCCCTGCCCTAACTATAACTAGTCACTTCAGGCAACCTAGTACATGTACATGTACATTTCCAGGGCAAACCAGCCTGTACTACAAAGTGCAATTTACAACTAAACTTCTTAGAAGCCTAAAACTGCCTACAGTACACTTGATTAAATTAATGTGGTCAATTAGACATTCAAAATGGATGATTGACCAAAGGAGTTCCAACCAAGAAGATCAGTCCTTGAAATGTAAGAGAAATCTTAATCTTAGTAAGATTTGCTTTGTCTTTCCTTAGTTTTCATATTATCATTATTATTATTCAATCTATTCCTCTGTCATACTTCAACTCATAAAAGTACACAACTACAATTGAAGGATTACTGTGGCACAAGTGGGATTTCCTTGACTCCTGCAAGTCAATATAAAATGTACATGTACACTGTACATACATGTACATGAGTTCAGGAATACATGTACATGTACAGTATTCAGATGTTTTGTGGTGGTTGGGAGCAATCTCAACAGCTCACCTGCCAAATTGTTTCTTTGCATCTTCTAAAACTTCTTGTAGCCAAGTCACATTCTCCTCAAACATTTCATCAAAGCTCTTAATCTTAGCTGTTGTGATCAGATGAAGGGAGAATCCTGGTAGTTCTCCCATTCTCATTGTAGTCAGTGCTGAGGACAGCATTGTAACACCGTTAATTCTGCCAGCCTGAAAAACAAAAGGAAGAGTTTAATTTGTACAAGAATTAACATAATTACAGAGTACTATCCTGTTATATGCTACACTAGCTCTCTATTGTCTAGGAAGTAATAAAAAGTCTGAACATTTCATTAAAATTTATGTAACACTAATGACAGGATTACTGCCATTGCTTAAACAACATACAGTACTGTAGATCTGAGAATGGATCAGGAATGTTGGGCACAATCAGTTAATCTGTGCCATCACTCAATACATGTATGTGCGAAATTAGTCCATTTTATTGCAGGATTTGTTGATAATTTTACCATCATCCAATAAGTGCTTTGTATTTCTTATTAAGTTAAAGACTAATGCAGAAAGGGGAGATTTTATGCAGGATAAACCAACTGCGCAGAGTGATTGGGTGAAGGTGCTCAACACATATAAAAGTATTTTAATACAATATTTAACCACAAAGAAAGGAAATAGATTCAACCATGGAGCTATAAATCTTGCAGATCATAATGTCAGACAACTCTACTGTTTACCAACTCAACTCGAGACAACTTCGACCATTTACCCAGTCATCCACTGAGACAACTCAACTTTGTGATATACATGTAGAGACAACTCAACAGTTACTGTGTTAGGCATGTACAATTTTCGTGGCTAACGCTAGTTTGTGGTGTTCGACACAGTTGATGTTTTGGAACATTGGCTTCAATAGCATAAAAGTGTTCACATTGAGACTTGACAGGGACATGAAAGTGTCAGAAGAGAAAGATGGCTGCATGGATCAAAATTGTGAGTAGTCTCTCAGCAACCACAGATTGTGGTGTCGGAGAATTTTCTTGTTTTGCTAAATCGTGGCCACAGATAGTCCTAAGAGTGAGGAGCTGCAATGTACATGTATTATAGCAAATATAATACTGTGTGCATTATTACGTCTAATTTTGTGTGGTTTGTCCATCTGCAATATGCCGGCCGGTACAACTGAATATTCGACCATTCGATCCAACTGAAGGTTAGATATTCAAATACATGTAGTCAATTACATGTACAATATGTACCAGTTGACTCAGTCTATGGTAGATTCTGGAAGAGGTGGAACATTAGTTTTCTCTTTTCCTTTCTTTTCAATTCAGAGGAAAGGTGTGGACAAAACATGACAACGTGGAAAATGAGTAAGGTGACTGTAAACTTAAAAGTAAAACAATGTAGACATTTTAATGGTCCAAGAAACTTGGGTTCTACAAATCACCGTTTTTACATTTGGACATGGTTGCCCGACCATGTTCAAATGTTACAAGGTGTACAATACAGCCTAGAGTCCAAGTTACTTCCAGGGCTAACATTTTAAATGGTAGGAAAGTTGTTCCAGGACTGATAAGCCCTACCTGCCAACTCCCAGAACTGTGGGGTCCGATGTCGGACCCACAGTTCTGGGGGTAGGTTGGCCAAAGATCAATAGATCACACATTGATTGCACCTACATGTATATGTAGCAGCCTAGGCATACACCATAGGCCTAGGACCTATATCGCAGAAGTTCCTCCTTTTTAGAGTAAATTTCAAAGAGGGCCTAGGCTATCCTACTTGAAATCCTTGTAGTTGTACATGTGGCATAGCCTACCCTCCCACAATGCACCAAAACCGAACAAGTCAACCCATGTCAGTGACAACTTGTCTCAACGGTGTTCCATCATCAGTCGTCGCAGTTGAGTTGTTTCAACATGTTCAAACTATCAAGAACCTGTTCCAAGTCTAGTCGAGGTGGCAAACAGTTGAGGTGCCCAACATGCCCGAGCCCCATTCATGCCAATCATTAGATCATGACCCCACTTCAATAACATGATTTACTAATGCAAATGAAAAAATAAGAAAAAACACTGAAGCCAGAGTAGGGCCTGGGCCTGCATGACCAACAAGATTTAGTGGCATTTACACATTAGAGATTTAATGACCTCTAAATCTGCAAAAGGCCAATTTTCAACCACCACGAAAGTAAAATGTACGATTTGAAATGTCCTTACTGGTCATGCTGGCGCGATATGTGTGTGCAAATCATGCACGCAGGCTACTGCGTTTCGTCCAAACACTGTGAGAAACATGAAAATTCTCGCATAACGTGAGCGGTCTTTGATCTAAATTAACGCACATCAAACACAGGAATCGTATTCAAAAGGCATCCATGTATCTCTTAACATATAAATAAACTTTAAAATTGGAATCGCATTCACATTTTAAAGCTTTAGTTTCAGTAAAAACTAACCTGCAATTTTCGAGAAGAATTCAATACGACGGAACCATTCAAATTTGGTGGGTGTCCATTAGCCAATCAAAACACAGTATGTCGGTAACGTCGCAATTTCTAATAAGTACGTGCAGTTGGTGATGAACAAGTGCACCACACAAAAAGAAAATTACGTTACCGTTGAATACGGTTGTGACTTTCAAGCAAATTCCATTAAAAAATTTTCCCAATGCTTTCAAGCACTTATACATTTCATTTTATAGTGATATGTGAAGGTTCGGAAACAGGTGGCTTTTTTCTTTTAAAAAAATTGCCCCCGATTATTCAGCAGGAGTTTTCATACTGGTTGCAAAAAAGGACCATGTTCCTGAAGAAGCCATGTTGATCTTGATCCTTGTATCTGTGCTCTAAATTGTTATCTGCTGAATGTGGTGGATTTTTGTGGGTTCCAAACCTTTTTTTTAATCTTGCATAAATACTCAGGTAAATTTTATCAAGAATTTCAATTTGTTCATCAGAGTAATCAGGTAACAATTTGTCAAGAATTTAAATTTCATTCACAGTGTTCAAAATGAAAAGTTAACTTTGCTTTCAATTTCAATATGGCCGACTCGGGAATAAGGTTATTCAACACCCTCAAACGTAGACCATGTGATATTATTGGAATTCTCAAGCTAAAGGTAGTACAAAGCAAGTACGCATACTACTGTACGACTACTGTCTCGTGCACTCTGCCCCCATCACAACTATGCAGAGAAAACTCATCCAATCAACAAGCAAATTGTCCATTCAGTACAGTGTTTTAATTAGTTATTCGTCAACGATGTTGCTTTAGGAACTCCAAGCTCACATTTAAGTATTTGTCAAGTAGATATAAGATCACATGCTTTAAAACAGAATATAGCCACAATATAACCAGATGAGAGGAATAAAATCCTTAGTTGCTAGGAGAGTCTCCTTGTCAATGTGCTGTCCTTACATGGACAAGATAAAAATGCTAATAATTGCCTCAACTGTAAACACTTTGGGTACAATTGTCAGTATACAATGAAGTAAGCCCTTGTTGAAGTACTTGAATGTTCATATGACCACATTTATCTTCAAAATGTGACAAATCCTTTACAGAATGTTGCTTTTGAGTACATAAACAAAATAAACCAAAATTACTTTCAAAGGACAATATGTAGTGTAAGTTTCAATTTTAATAAGCAAGCCTGTATAAAATGACTCCTTTTCTGCAGTCAAATATTCATCTTTACTCATTAATTGAAAGGCAAGGATTTAATCTTTAGATTTGTGTGAATCAATCTGAACACAACTTTAGTATGTTTATTTTCTACAATATAAAACCATCAGGTGAATTATTATTACTAAGCTGTAGATATTGAGTAGAAACAGCAGTAACTTGCTTCACCATATTAATAGCTCTCCAAAACAAAAGAATTCATTGATTTAAACACAAAAACCCTCACCTTTCTAATCTCACCATGAAATGAAAAAAAAATTGTTTCTAAATATTCACTACTCTTGAACGAAACCGTTTTAGGTTTTTAGTTTCCATAATAACAGCTTGTGTTTGGACAAAAACTTGAACGAAACCGCTTTAGGTTTTTAGTTTCCATAATAACAGCTTGTGTTTGGACAATTTTAAAGCAGACCGAAAGTAAGTGGATTTTGTGTCTGAAACGTTTCTTTTGTTTACATGTATATTGGTCAACACTATGCTTCATAATAACAATAGTTAAGATGACCTACTCACAAGAGTAAGAGCAAGGAACATGTATAGAGTAAATATCAAATGCACAATCATAATCATTTCACTCATTATCCAATGTTCAATCCTTCTTGAACTGTGCTCACAATTGTTTTTGCGACGGAAAATGTCTCAAAAATTAGCCAAAGGAAAAACTCATTGGACAGTACGTTTTAAGTTTGTAACTCAAGGGGTATGGTCAATTTCACTACTAAGCAGTATCTCGTAGCATGATGTCCATAGGTATTATTGTTATCATTGTCATATCTGATTCAGCAATAACTCAGAGGAGGGCATTATTTGATTTCTCTCCTTCAAACAACTTAAGCTTTTGACCCTGCATCTTTCTTCTGGCTCAAGTTAATCTTGTCACCCAGACTGAGAGCCATACCTTGGCTCTTTGCTCTGATACGGATATGACCAGACACAGGTGTCTCAGGGGTAGCACTGGCTGGTTTCTCTATGCTTACATTAGCCAAAGCGTCCTCACCAAAGATGGAACGAGCATAGAGATTAGCTGCCATGAATCCACACTCGCCAGAAATAGCCTGTCGGAGAAAAAAATTGATAACATCAAATGAAACTAAAGTGGTACGTATGGGCACTATTCAAGTGGACAAATAAATACCCATTCACTGAAATACTTGTGACACAATGACATTATTGTTTGTTTACATGTGCACTTTCCTAAGGCAGTAAGGTGGGACATAATCTGTCAAGTCCCAAGAGGCAAACTTCAAGTGACGTCATTATTTTTTAGGCCTATTATACACTGACAATAACAAAATTATATTCAGTGTCACATGCATTGTTTGTAACAAGACAGTGACAGGTTAATAACCGACTGAAAGCTCTGTTCTTTAATCCAAAACTTTCATCATCAATCAAAATGAATACATGTGTAGAGAAAGATCTGGGAATAATTGGAGACAACGAACTATAGATAAACAAATAAACATCCCTTGGAACAGCTTAGTGAGGACTGAATGAAAACCAATCATGTAATAGTGTATAACTCTGACCTTTTCTGGTGTGAGACATTTCATATTGGTTGACTTCAGGACATGTTTCAGGTAATCATGCAGATCCGTTATGTTGGTGTTAACAGTCACCTGAAGAGGAGAATATGAGAAGCATTAGTCTGAGGATCTCAAAATAAATCTGCTCTAAAAAGCCAAGATAATTAAATAACTGATCAAAAAACAAAAATTCACAAATGAAAATCCAATTCTATTTCAGTGCTTTCAACCTCAAATTACTAAACGGTGAGCCACGTAGATGCCACTGTTATGTCAACACAGCACAAATGGTCCATACCTTATTTTCCCATTCAAACTCTGCCCACATGCTGCGGAATTCTTGATCGGTGCAATGGGCAGGAATGATGTAATCCATGATGTCAATGTGAATATCGTTCAGAACGACGACATTACGGTCGTTAACAGCACCAGACACATCATAGACTAGAAATCAAGCAAAGTCACCGGGAAACATTCATGACTACCGGAAGCAAGGAACGGTAACAACAGATAAAAACCATGAAGGCTGTATGTTACTGTTACACATGAAAAATGCGAAGCTATGCACGGTGAGAGAGTAAACTATGAAAGTCTTGCAGACCAGGCTTGGAAATATATCTCTCTGCATGGTTGAAAAAAGAAACAGCCTCGGAAGAAATGAGCTCAAGATATTTCAATCAGTATGTTCTGTCTTCAGGGATTTTAGCTGAAACAAGGAGCAGGACTAAGATGTCCTGATGTGATGGGAAAGAAAACCCCTTTCTCAAAGCTTACCAATGTTGCCAAAGATGATTCCATTCTCTGTGGATGCTACCTTCACGTTAGCTTTGATGTTACAAAAATCATGAGGAGCCAACGTCATTGGTTGCGGCTTTTCAACCAGCTTCAAATCACCTAAGAAAAAGTACGAAGACGGAATAATCAAGACAAGTTGCACTCAACTCACTGAATTTCTACTGCTTTGAAAATTTTTAGATTTTCCCATATTGGAGTTTTAAAAACATATCTGTAATGATTTCTTCGGTCTCTTACTCGGAAGAGAGACATTTTAGGCATCAGGAATACGGCCATTTCACAATAGTGCACCATCAAGAATTTACAACGCGTTGGCCAATCACAATGCCCGAAATTTGTCGACCCAATGTGTGTTTGGAAAGGGTCGACAAATTTCATGTGTTATGATTGCCCAACGTGTTGCAAACTCTTGGTGGCGCACTACTGTGAATCGCCCGTATTAACACGCCCTGGGCTTGTGCTGCTGTCCGTCTGTGCTGCTTGCTGACTTGAAATCATCCACACAGAATAAATTGACATGTCTTGATGAATACAAACAGTACGCCGTTTGCTCATTTGCTTACCGAGTGTAGCAAGTTCCAAGGAGCATGCCTGCAGTGTATCAGCAGTCTGGTTGACAATCAAGACGTCCAAGACAATGTCATATTGATTGATGTTGATATATGCCTCGGCATACACAGGATCAGAGAATCCTGTCAGCTGGGTCACCTAATCAATCAAATCAAATCATGTCATATTTTTTTGACAGGTCGAAGAATTCTGTTCATTCAGTTACTTTATGGATCAAATCAAATCACATCACCTTGACAGAACTGTCAAAGCTGATCTAGGAAGATCTGTGGCAATGGTACCTGGTAGATTAGACTAAATCCCATCAATTCAACTCAAATCAAATCAATTCAAATCACATCACCTTGACAGAACTGTTAAAGCTGATCTAGGAAGATCTGTGGCAATGGTTACCTGGTAGATTAGACTAAATCCCATCAATTCAACTCAAATCAAATTCAATCAAATGTCACACTAACTGAAGTAACGACAGGTCTTGTTAGACAAACCCACTATGGGGACAAAGAACGTATCCCAAATCATCTAAAAGATCTAGAGGAGGAAGCAGTTGGTTCTAAGCTCCACAAAATCTCCATTTCCATCCTACCTTGCTCAACTTGGAGGCACTGATGTCATGTAACTCCTTCTTGCCTGTGGTTCCCATGGTAGCAAGAGATAAACTCATTGTCAGCTGATCCTGTTGAAAGAAAAGTGGTAATAAAAGTAACTTACCCAAGTAATGTATGGACTCTTTACAACATATGGAAGGTGGATACTTATGGAGAAAAATAGATTGTCAGGGTTTGATGCAATGATTTTGATTGTATTGTGGTGCTTAAATTACAATCACAATCCCAAAAAAAACAACTTATAATTGTAAAAGTAAAGAAAGAACCATTAATTCTGTTTTGAAATCGTTGTCATGAATGGCATCATCAAGCATAGTGTTTTACCATGGAGTTTGTACATACCTCAGTACCACCATTATCAGTCTTTGCCATCAACTGAAGGAAGTTGATAGGATCATCCGCTTGAACGGAGACTAGCTTCTTGTCTGACCCCTACACAGCAAGGACAGTGAAAACAACTGTAAGTTACTACAATATCGTAAGAATAACTCAACTTAATTAAACTTCACCAAGAATGTATCATTGTTTGAATAGTTTTTCCACTTTATGATTCTCACCTTCTGTTGTTCTTTTTCCTCCGTCTGTTTAGTCAGAATCAGTGTCTGGAGCGAGTTGCGACAATCACGAGTGAAGACGTCTGACATGAGAGAGTGCCGGTCAGCCACTACCCTCAGACACATAGCAATGCGATCTAAGTCATCATCTGTGATGTTCTGAAACCAATCCAGGAACAACTGGTTCTTTATCACTCAGAAATATAAATGGTTGTAAACGAGGCTTGCTAGTTCTTCCAAACAGTAAGATTAACCATTTATCTGTGCAAATGCACTTCGGAATTGCTAACAGTTTCAGAAACTGCAGTAGATAAAGTTTAAAACAAAGGTTCTTCAAATGACACAATTTTCAATTCAATTGTCCACTTTCAATTTTAAAGTTAACTGCTTACCGTTGGTCAATAGTTTCAAAATCAATCCAAACTGTTTTCACTTACGTTCTTGGCAAGTCCAGATTTTCCAAGATGAATAACTGTTGCCATGATGAGCATAGCCTCAGCCAAGAAAGACTGAAATGGACCAAAGTCATAGCACACTATTATCATACAGTCATTCCTGCACCTGTCCTGGGTCGAAACCCTTGAATGCCATCCTTACACCTGGTACGTATTAGTGCACATTAAGTCAGCTAATGAGTGTTAAACCCCACTGTATAAAAACCACATGCAAATAAGTAAACTATCAAAGCGCCTACGCCGAGTTGAAAACAACAGGTAACAATAACTAAAGGCAAGATATCACTCTTGAAAATAATGTCAAACAAGATCAGATTGAAATAAAGCTGATTGCAGTCCAAGCGTGGGTACATACATTTTGCTGTTTGGGGTTCTTGTTGAGTTCAATGAAGCGAAGAGCTAACTTGGTCAGCACAGTGGCCAAGGATGCTCCGACAAAGAAATCACCATCCATCAAGAAACTACGCAATGGAGGTCTGAAGAGTTAGAAGAACCAAAATCAATAGTAACCAAATTGCATAGGAGAGATCTGACTTTGTACAACTACATCGCAAAGCTGTGATTTCAATGCTAGGAACCATCTATAATTCGTACTTTGTCCAAGGATGGATTTGCGGCGGGGAGATGTTAATTAATTTTAGACTGAACTTGCCAGTGGTGGTCAAGTGGTTAAGACGTCTGCACTAGTAAGCAGGAGGTTATGGGTTCGAGTCCCATCCGAGTACACTTGTGGGTTTTTTCCCACAAGCCTTCAGGGGCAAACACTAAGTACACAGTGTTATAATACACATGGGCAGGGCAAAAAATCAAAAATGAATTCTTACTTTGCTGTGGTCTGTCTGACCAAGATATCACGTCAAACCAACACAGTGCCTTATGTGTTTGTGAATATTTAAATCAGACTTCATGTAAAAAAGTTGAACTGATAGACAATCTATCTTCACATGAAAGCCAGATGCTGACGCTCTATCTAAGACATTACCTGGTTTCCTCTTCTTTCTTGGGAGCAGCAGCACTGAGCGCGCTCTGTGTGGCATAGGTGCCCATCTCTGTCAACTGTCGCTTCTGACTAGAGATAACAACGGATTCCTCTGAAAGAGAGAAACCCAGGCAGATATGTCAAGAAGTCCAAGGCTCGGAAACAAATTACACACCAAAATCTTTTGGACCATCTTAATGGACAGCAAATCAAATCCTGTTTCTATACTTCTACACACACTAATTGCTGAAATTTCTGTACTGAAGAGATTACAATGCAAAACAAATTTTCTAACAATGACAACAGCACTATTAACATTAACCATCAAAATCCATCAAAATCCATCCTCCCATTTTAGGGGATTTCCATGGACTTGGTCCAGGAGGCCTCAAACATTGTTGGGGCATTCAGTGCATGTTGTCATGGCAACAGTGCTGATGATATCATGTAAGAAATGTGCAATAGGATCCATCAACCAAGTCCACCACACCGGTGATTGACTTTTCAGCAAGCATTGTGGATTACACAGGGAGTGATGGATTTCCATGGATTTGGTTCAGTGCCTAGTCAAAGACACTGGGGAGTTGGGGATAAGGTCAAGAATGACCACCCTGACATAAATGAGTGAGACCTTTACCATGATTACCTTCAGTATCTTCTCCTGCTGCTTTCCTCATCTCATCGTCAACGATCGGAATCTCACCAAGAGAATTACGAATCTCATTCATCAGACTCTGAATCTCATCGCTAGTCGTGCAATATTCACCAAGAATCCATAATGCTGCACGATGAATCCTAACCCAAAAAAGTATGGGATCAGTAAACAACAACAGTAAACAACAACAGTAAACAACAACAGTAAACATCAAAAGAATAGGTATAAACAGGGAAATGAGAGACAAAAGCCCAAGGATATCAATCAAGAAAAATGAAAAAAGGCCAGATCAAACCAGTCCAACCAGCAAAGATTACAAATGATGTACAACAACCAGAAAACACAATTAAAATGCCAAAACAACAGAACAGCAATAGACCAGTTCAGACATTTGATTTATCAGCAACAATCAGTAATTAATTAGTAACTATACACCACTGGAGTACAGGTCTTTACTTACTTGACAGTGCGAATAGAAGCAAAGACCTCCAAGAGTTTGGTGACAATTAGTGGTTTGAGCTGTTCAAAGCGCTGGATAGCCTCACGAACAAAGACGAGAACATCAGCTGCTGCTAACTCATTGGTGTCACTCAGGAATTCCATCAACTATATACACAATCCAAACAAACCAGGACGATGATTAAAGGTACAGTCTGTCAGTTGCAATAATCCAAAGGTATCTGACAAAAGTAACCTTGAAGAGGACACTTGCCTTAAAGATATGTCTGGGACTAAACTTTCTCTGAAATCATTCTTTTTTGGCAAGCTGATATTTTGAAGAAACGATGACAGAAGGCAATTTCCAATAATGATATCTGAAGACACGTTTTCTGAAACAGTAGTTATTGGTTCATTCTTAATCGGCACGGCACAAGAGTTCACATGACGCACATGCACATGCAGTTGCTATAACTCATCAGCTCAGTGTGTGACACGTGCAGCTCCAGTTGGCTAAATGGGAACACGTTCCGTTCAATGAATTCTGGCACAATTCAAAACGTAACCTGGCAACTTTTCATTTCATTTGGACGGCTTTTACTGCCTCAAATGAACACAATAAATAATTGACACACTATGTACTGTTAAGTTTGACACAACCAACAAAACCTTAATCCCCTTCGCTAAGGTCAGAGCTGTTCATTTCATTTACGGCATTTCCAGTACTTACCAAGGGGATGACTTGAGCAGCAACATCAGGGAATTTGACACTACATGAATGAAGTGTTCTGACGAGGAGCTGACGATATTTCCCCGTGTCTTCGTGCTCACCCACATTGTGGGTCTTACTGACTTCCTTCTTCAGAACAAGAACCATCTACAAAACCAAACAAAGCAACACCTGTCCTATCAACATCTATCCTCACTTTGTCTCACATCAGACGTGCCTTTCTTAACAATTCACATTTCTTCTGCAGATGTCTTCTCGGCAGAGCATTAAATCCAATAGACTCGGTTCCCTCGAGTCTTTCTCTCAAGGCTACAATGAATTCTTCATTACCTCTATGGGCAACACGTCCACTCACCTCCTCAACATTCCTCGATGACACCAGATCCATGGCCAGATCTAATGTCTTACGACGTACCTCTAGATCAGATGATGACAACACACGCAGGATATCCATGACAAGCTCCTGTGTTTGATGAACAGAACCCAAACAGTTGACAAAGATTGGCATGAATGTGAGGGCATTCAATGTATTGTGTCTTCCACTCCAATGATCCTAAGCTTTCCACACTGTCTATAAACACACAGTCCCACATTACCAGCTTGACAAATTTATGTCTACGCATTCCAAAACAATGCTCACAACTAGAACTGGAAGAATACCAGATGTACTAAGAGTAATACTAAAGTACTAACCTGGAGGACTTTCTCATGTGCTGAGTCTTCTCGGAGTGCCACCAGTCGGTCTAACACAATCAGCTTGACGTTGTTGTCACTTTCTTTGATGATCAAATCAATGTAGCAAGAGGCTGCCGCCTACCATCAAAGGACAGACATCCTTCTTTATCATGTTACTACTCTACATATGACATAAAAAGTTCTTTAAAAGTTTTAACAGTTAACAATAACCAAGTCGATGACATAAAAAGCTTGCTCCTCCATATTGATTGGTCCCTGACAATGACATACCTTGATAGCTGTAGGAGCACTTGACAATGTGACCAGGGTACCAGCTGCCTCGTAACGTACCGCAGGACTAGATGATTGCAGTAGGTTGTAAATACAACGGATAAAACGAGCGCGCTCAGACGGATTGGCATGGCACACCTGTACAAAGCAGACAGTTCAAACTCAACCGATGAGGATGGAGAATAACAGTTTGAGGCTGAAGGAATGATGAATGAGGTGTACTAACAAAAAGCCTGATTTTGTCGTCACTTACCTTGTACACCAACTCCACAATGACAAGCTGTAAGATGTCACCAAATGATGTGATCTGATCAATACACGTGCTCAAGTAATCCAAGGCACGGTCTTGATCTACGTGGATCAACATCATGAATGCATTCCTCTTACAAGAAGCGTCTTGTTCCTGCTCAAGGAATGTATGGATCAGCTCAGGGGCATCCGGGATCAGGAAGTCAAAGTTCCTGGAAGAAAAAAAAAACATAAAAGGGAAAATTGAGATTTGTGAATTGGGAAATATGTCTCGTTCCTGCTCAACGCACACAAACATCAGCTTAGGACAAAATCCTTAAGACAAATAGCAAAGCAAAGAGCGATTGGCCCAGTTACTTTTGATGAAATTAGGGAATAAACTGCATTTCAATAAACTCCGGGCAAGAATTTTTTACTGAAATGGCCATTCCTTTCGATTTACAAACACCTCAACAGAGAGATAGACAGTTTATGCGATAAAAGTTAGAATCATTTTCATTATCAATGCGGAGTTAGAAAATGAACCCAATGATGAGTTACTTCAAGCATGAGACAAAAAAAGCCCCAAAATATCAAATAGCCAAGGAAACAATATAGCCTAGACAAAGCCAAGTCACTGAATAATGTCTTTATGTACGTTAATCAAACTATAAATCAATCACTTAGATCTTACTTGTAAATGGTAAAGATGGCCATGACTGCATTACGTCGTACGTAACTATGACGATGCTCTAAACAAAGACGAATTGCTGGCATCAATGGCTCAAGTAGTTCCGGCTCCTTGAGTTTACACAAGAAGCGTAGAGTGGAACCACGGATGAATTCATTAGGATGCTGAAGATCCTTCCGATAAGCGTCACACACAAGGATCATCTCTTGAAGCAACTTGCCATCTGGGTGTGTCTTGGGGACAATCTCCCAGAAGATCAGCAGAAGTTTCTTGATGGTGTGGTCCTGCAAACAAGATTCCAAATCAAACAAAGTGTATGAGAAACAGTCAAAATGAGTCATGTTGACTGAAGTGAAAGAAAGTTATCAGAAGTTACTTCAATGAAATCAACAGTTATTCTTTAGGATTTATCTTCACACGTACAAAAATCAAAACACATGAAGTACTGGCTACTGAAGAAAAAGAAATCCTGGTAAATGCCTGAAACTACACAAAGGAATTGAGAATGACCTATCCATTACCACCATAGAAAGACTTGCAAGACTTTCAAAACGGGGACGAATATGACTGTTGTTTGTGGCAGGCACGCTAAGGCATTTCTGTGAGTTTTAGGGGTAAGTTTTGACCTTTGACCCAGTTTATTACCGTCATTGGAAGCAGGAATCTAATAACAGACATCAGAAGTCCTGGAAACTTCTCCCCATTCAGTATCATGTAGATCAGTTTCTTCAAGGCTTCAGTCCTGGTTTTTGTGTCACCATTTTCTGAGGGAAAAATCAATCAATTAAACACCTGTCACAATCAGTCACAATGCAAGTAACATTTACACAAGTATGGAGATTTTTCATGAACACAGTTAACCCACAGGCAACAATCTTCCTACACCTTCCAATTTTTATAAATTTTATTAATTAATTGTAAATTTCAATTTCATTAAACATGGGAGCACATTTGATGATTATTTTTCAGAAGAAAAGCCAAAAAAACACATCATCATACCAATATCATTCTTGAGAGTCATTTCATTCGGTGGTTCAACATCCATGTTGAAATTGATCAGCGTGTAGCATGGTTGCTCTGAGGATGCCATCTTGAAGTTGAAAAGTAAATTCAACCAAATAGCTTCTTATCTGAAGAGGAAATTTCAAGACCAAATTAGCTCGGGGCCTGCTGTATTAGCTCAGCTGTGGTTCACGGACAGAAGCGGAACCTTCAAAGAAAATCTCACAGTCAAAGTAAAGTGTTTGATTGGCAATCCTTACTTCAAAGGCCCCGTAACATATGTGTCATTTGCTAACTTATTTTTGAAATTCATATTTTATGGCAATGTCCTTCCCCAAATGACTCCTCAATGCTTCAGTTTTTAAAGGAAAAATTCCTCAGGCTGAACACACACATATACATGTAATTTTGGACTGAGTCTACAAAATGCAGTGGTGTCCTCAAAGTAAGGATTGCCAATAGATGAGTGAAAAATGAGCCCAAAACAAGGATAAGTGAGAACAACACGACAAAACAGGACACTGTGATTGAACAAACTCCCTTCAGATATTCACCCTATCTCCTCCGTCACTGAAATCAAGGTTTCTGTTTAAATCCAATTGTTCAATGATTGTTACATTATTTCTTGTTAATATTACTATATCTGTATTGTGCCATGAGCATCATACTGAAAGATACTGGAGGGTTATAAATCTGTATTATTATAAGTACATGTAATGCAGAGGAAACATTCAATTTCTACACAAACACATGACCATGACGGAGTCTGTGTACATTTTCAAGTCAACAAGTTAGAAGCATTTGTTACACTAACACTTAGTTCAGATGAAATTCAGGGAGAGCTCCATACACAAGACAGCACTAATTGTCCCTTCCAGTGGTTTATCAGTAATCAGAAAGTGACTGCATATCCTAAAAAGGAGTAACTGCAGAATACCACGCCAATCTAAAAAACAGCCCCTGGAATGACTGGTTACATGGGTACAAGGTGAAAATCCCTTGAGCAGAGCATGAAGTGTGACACTTTGACCTATACCTGGCTGTAAACCTTATTGCAAATACTGCATGGTGATTTTACACAATGGTAGAAAGGAATTGTGGGAAGGAAAAAGGAGCAAACATTGCCCCTTTTTCCTTCCCACAATGCCTTTCTACCATTGTGCAAAATCACCATGCAGTATTTGCAATAAGCCTTATGAGGTTGATCGTGTGGGATGGTGGGGTATAAAAGCCAAATTATGCAACCAACTAGATGTATTGAAACATTTACTTAGAAAACCCCAAAACACTTGGAATTTTTCAGACCGATTTATCATTTTATGGTGCACATGCTAGGCATGACATTCATATCAGTGATGTCCATGTACGTGCATAGGATTTTTTTTCTAGAACTGTTTTCACTGGATCTTTTGAAATAAAGTTGTCTTCCAAAATCAATTTTAATGGACTTGAAACTGAACATGATCATGAACGAGAATATGGAAAATAGCACAAAGGGGCTATCAATGTCGGAAATACCACACCTCACAGTGCACATACGTGTGATCTGAAGACAGTGCGTGAGGATAGGAGCAGAATAACGTCTGCGAAACGCGACTCGTCTTAACATTTAACTTAGGCAATCACACTTCACAACATAATAGTAAATATTTCTCCAAAATGACCTCCATCTCTGTTACTTACTCAAGTATCGTTCACAAACTGGCACACCAGCTCAACCAGCAGTCTGTTTCGACAGGGATCGATACACAATTCCCCTTCCCTTGCCGATCTGACACGTTGGCTTTGTGGGGAACTTGGCAGAGGGCGCTATTCTGTTTTAACGGTTGGGTTTCTCAACAAGGTCTCCTTGTCCCATTGGCATCTGCTCAGTACCGTACCGATGACCGAATTAGACATTATTTGTATAAATGCCATCTCAGTGCTTGCACCCTGAAGCGAGGTGGAATACATATTGTATAAACTTTGTTTATTTTTGACTTTCACTTTTTTTCAGAGATCTCAATTAAATAAATTAATTTAAAATGAATCAAATACTTGAAAAGGTACGTACTCGAAGATTTGTAATTTATTTTAATTCAAGCAAGTGCATCTTTTTTGTGTGAATTCTGCCAACCGCGGGGGGGGGGGCTGCAAGCAGCAGTAAGTGCAGGGATATTGTGGATAAATAAAAGATTAATTTTATGGTGAAAATAAATTGTAGTTAGTCACTGGAACACAATAAATATATTGAAATTTGCATGACATTCTAGCAAACTATTGGACAGCTATTTGGGGAAAACTGTCGTGCAAAGAAGGCACTGCAATCCATGTACAATTAGTGCATGATTACGTTTCATTGAAAATTATACTTAAACAAGATATCATTCAAAAAATTGATTTCAAATATCCTTTTTTTCTGGTGAGCATTTTAGTGTTTTCGTTCTTTACCGTAATGGCACAGGAAATCTCTGAGACAAAAATTATTGTGACAATTATTTCTTTGAAAACGATTCGCAAATTATCCTTGTGGGCTACATCTGAGAATTTCACTTTTCTCTTAGACCCTGTAATGGACTAATAAAGACAACTTTCTGTGTACTAATAGTGACTGGGCCGTCTCTTCTCCCATCCCCAAGATGTGAATTCCCATCTGTCTGTGTACCATGGTGACCTTCGGGTTCTGCAAAGCTGGTATAAAGCGGCTTCCTTACTAAAGACTCATAGGTTCCTATACTACTATTGTCAATCTCAAGGACTTTCAAGATTGGTTTCAGTTCATCACCACGCCCAGAGTTTCCCTCTGACACGTCACTAATTGTAAGCGGCATCTGTAAACGATCCGGTGTCGCAGGTTTCTCGTTAGTTTGTATGGACTGCAGGGTTTCACGAGATTTAGTGAACTCTGTTGTATCATCCCCGTCTTTTTCTGGCTGAAGCCAAGAGACTCGTTTCCCTTTGCTCATAGGAACCACAACATGCAGGTACTCCTTTAACATCTTTGTTTCGTCTTTGTCAAGGCTTTCACCAAATGTTTCCACCATTCTCTTGGGATATAACTCTGTCCCGTAGGTGTTTGCATGAGAGACAACATCAAGAGGGTCCTCAGGTATTACACCGAGACTTTTCGACGAAGAATTCTCTTGGAGTTTGTTGTTTTCGCCACTTTCTTCCTTCTTCTCTGCGTCTTGGTTTTCAGTTACCATGTTTGCAACCGAGCGGGCAACTAGCTCACTCCCGCCGTCTTGACTTTGGCGGCGATCGTCCGCTGGCGTTGTAGGCGGTTGTTTTGGAAAATTTCGGGAAGGACAGAAGCTTTCTCTGTCAGAGCCATGGACGCGTCTCACACTGCTCTCTGCCGGTAGATCAAGGACTTCACCTTCTCTTGATATTGACTGTCTTCCCTGGAGATAGTACATTCTTCCCTCTCGGTTTCGCCCATCCGGTCCTTTTCGTACCTTGAATTTCAACTTGAAATCGTCTGGGTCGGCAGACGAAGGCACGTCACTGGATGGGAAAAGAAGCATGCGCGCATCACTTGGTATTCCAGCCCTGTTCTGACGTGGGGAGATCTTCTGATCCTTCTCCACTTTTGACTGAAGTGAGTTCATTCTTGCAATCAAGTTCTCCCTTTCCTGTTCAACTCTGGAGTCATACATGGGATATAAGACTCTAAGTTCCTCTTTGTCTCGCGTCAGAAAGTTCTCTGGCAATGAATCACCGACATCGATGTTGAGGGTTGTGACTTTTAGTCCACTTCTGGCGTACAAGTTCTGTAGTTCTGGTGGGAACATTGCGTTTGGGTCTTTGGCGTATATGCCAGTGTAGCTAGAACTTGCAAATGTGTTAGCCATTGTTCCGACTTCGTGATTGATGGTATTTGGTTCCCGAGTCAATGTCACCGATTGGTCACTGGGGTGTTTGGTATCCTGCCTCTTTGATCTGTCTGGAATGGCTTGCTCCATGCTCGATGTTCGTACGCGTTTATCTCGACCTTTCTCCACTCTGAAACTTGGAGCGAGGCTGGAGACTCTTTTCAGAAACTCCGAGTATGGTATTTTACCAGTTCGAACCGCCGAGTTAAGTTGTGAAAGCAGCGATCTACGCTCGGCCTCATCGTAAGAGGTTTGAAATGAGTCTACGTTTAGCCGCGGTGTCTGATTAATCTGTACCAAGGTGCATTTAGGGGCGAGTTCTGGTAGATAAGTTGTCGAGTCTTTGGTCTGTTCGTCATTTCGTGGACTAGTGAAGCAAGCTGCTTCATGTTGGCCTACATCCACACAAGAACCCTCGGAGCTGAACGCAGCAACGTCTTGAGGTGAATTGGATCGTATCACAGCGTTTATTGCTGCATCATCTGCCTTTCCTTCAAAGGCTAGGCCAACCGGTATCTCACGTGCAGCCCCTGCCCTAGAATTACCTGATGGTGTCTTGGGAGGAGACCTGCACTCCTGCATGGTAGCACTTTGGCCGTCGAAAAGCTTGGTGTCGTAACGAGCTGTTCGAGGTTGACGTTGCCTAGAAACGTCCTGTATAATTTTCCAGTTGTTCCCACTGACATCCGTAATATCCATGATATTAGGAAGTTTCAATTCCTCTTTTTCCTTCTCCGTTGCTAGGACGCCACCTAGCGGTTTGGCTCCCAGTGCTCCCCGCTTCACAGTGAATGTTTTAAACTTCTTCCCACAATCCCGTTCTAGGTAGACTTTCAAAGGAGAATTATTTGCAGCAACAAGATCCGGGGCTATTTTCTTGGCTGCATCTTCGATTGGTGGAAGTGTTACTATTCCTTGGTCGGGTTTTCCAGTGGGCGTGGCGACAGGAGCAAACATTGCAGGGTTACTTATTGCACGTAACTCGTCCGCTGTGTACACTTTGCCGTTGCAAGTACAGTTCTGTTTATGGAGTGCACGGTTAACGCTGTTGGTGAGCTGCTGCAGAAAGCGTCCCGTTTCCAATCTTGTTTCCATGGATACCGGCATCTGCTTAGTATCATTGAGTTTGTCCAGCCATTGCTTCGAAATTGTCTCTTGAATGCTGCAAAATAAAACAAACAACAAAGCCACGGTGCGTCACTTAAATCAATCAATCCACCGCATCAGAGGACACCACCGACAAAAATTATATTCTCTGCAGGAGGAACCAGTTTTCCTTCGAGCATTCTTTCTTTCTGTTCTGACAAGAAGCTGTGATATCAAAAATGTCAACCCCCCCCCCAGCCACGCAAACTTCGCAACTTTTGCCCCTCTGCCACGTTTGTAAGTTTAAACAAGTGTCTTGTCTTCAAAGTCATGGCTACATCTCCTGGAATTATTGATGCTGATTTATGTACTTCACATATAAAAGAAACCGTTTGTAGCTGATCTGGCAGTCCGAAGTGTTCTAGCTTTAACTCTTCAGTTTATTTATTTAAACAATTCAATTGGAAGTCTACCCAGTGTTCGTCAAACTACTTTGTGGAGTCTTACCTGTCAGGAGGCAAATCATGCCTCGGGGATTCTGCCCCCATCGTTTCCGCGTCTTCATGTTCCACAGACGCAGTCATCATCAGTGAGTTACCCTAACTCAGGCTCGCCAACTTTCACTGCATAATTATACAATACATGAATTGTACAATTCAGCAAAGAGGTTTACAGACGGCTATCTCGTGCACAATTATGGAAATTTGATATTCATTTTCTCATCTGAATGCTCCACAAACGGCATTGACACGTACACATTCAGGTATAGTATGTTCCAATGTTAGGCCTCTGAAACACAACCTGGGGGGTAGACCTACCGGCATCCGATCAATTGAAATAACACAAGTTTTTCTTGTCATCCGGTTTGTTTGCATTTCACTGGTGTCCCATACAATTGTCCGAGTCTTTGTTCAGTACTGACTGAAGTGAACCAGTCACACGTTGCACCCATTGCCGGACAACGGGAGCAGGATGGGGGCATCGCGAGGGGTATACGCGAGGACATAAGACTACAGAGGGAAAGTGCAACCCGCGTGAGCGCGTCAGTTGCAAGCAGGAAGGCGTGTATAACCATAGAGCTATTGGGTTGTAGCTCTATGGTATAACTCGTCATGCGACGTATTAACTACTTTGTGTAAGCACGGATCCTCGTGGTGTCAGATATCCCTCAAAACGCTGACGTCAGCACTTGTCAGTAGGAAGAACGAATCATTACCTACAGGGCAAAGTTCGTCACAATTCGACAGCTTTATCACTTTTATACTTCATTCTAATAATGACTGAGCAAACTAGCTCTCTTTACGAATTTGATTAACACAATAATGTTTTTCAAACCACACAAAAACGACAATTAAACACATCGTGATTAAAACATCACAGAAATGACGTAAAAACCGCTCACGGATAAAGATGCCAACGAGTTGCCATACAACAGGTCAAAATATTACAAATAGATTCGATATCTTTATTTTGACATAACTAGAGACGTAATCCCTACGAAATCTTGTCTATGAATGTCAAAAACGAAAAATAAAACGGTCAATTCCAATGTAAATATTTTACATGAATTTTCTTGAACGAAAGACGGAGACAGAGATCGATGTATGAGCAACCATCCAAAGTTCCCACCACGAGCATTCTTTCATGACAGTTATATTCAACATCATCAATGATTCAAGTTTTTACACTGAACAATCACTAAGGATCATTGTGGCTCTTGGCTACTGGTAATCCTCCGCCCAAGACGCCTTGAATAGAAGGATATAGTCCCTGAGAATAAAACCGTCAGGACCCTTGCTGAATTATTCACGCATCACCAGGTGCGTCGAAAGTAACCAATGATAGATTGATTGGTTTGTGTGGAAGCCAAGACTAGTTGTTTTTCTAATGTATAACGAATCAATCTGCTGAAGAGGGTAAAGGTCCGCGACATGTATATTGATACTGCATAGTTTAGGAATGAAACCTCATTATTTGTATTTAGTTATGAAGGTCAAAGTACACATTTATCCAAGCACTCACTAATGACACCCAAAAGCAATAATGCGCATTTCATGTGTATTAACGCCCATGAACTGGTGTCTACGAGGCAAAAATTAACACCAGAAGCAAGCGTCTGGAAAATAAACATGGAAAGTCAATGTTTATTCATGATTTAATTTACAATATGCAATCAGTATGTCACATTCATACTGATTGGTAATACTTAAAACCTTTCCAATCTTTAGGTAAATTATTAAAAAACCATTGTCCAAAATGGTTTACTGATGTCTTGAACTGACTCAAAATCATAAACCTGAAGCCTTACAATGAAAAACATTCGCTCCATCTGTTGGAAGACTTTACAGTATAAATCACAGAATTAGTACAAATATTGAGCTTTATAAACATTTAATGAAAATAAATTTGCCCTCAGTCAACAACTGTAATGCCAAAAAAATTGGAGTAAACATACTAGGCCGAAAACCACAAATTTAAATACAATAGCCAATGTTATATCTAGTGTTTAACAAGTGTTTGTTTATTCAGTGTTTAATACATCCAGAAAAATCCCCAAAGTGAAATATGCCCTTAAATTTGTTATAAATATTGTTAGAATACAGGTACTCTTTGAAATGCAAAAACCTATTAAATTTCAAGACTGATTTTCCACCATACAGAGAAGCTGCAGCGTTGTAGGTACAACAGATAATGACTTCATATTTTCATTACTTAATCCTTAACCCTAACACTCCTCAGTCCTCCAACAGGTGAAGGTCTGAGGAGTGTTAGGGTTAATCAAAGCGATAGTTTCAGAAGAAAGATTTATGACAATTTGACTCTTTGTGCACCCTTGGTATTCTGGTTCTGAACAGACACAGTCTGTATAAAACACACAGAGGGACAACTGATGACTGAGATGACTAACATATTAGTACACAACGTGTTGATAGTTCATAGTTCAGGAAGGAGTTATGCTTCAAATAGGCTGTCAAGATGATGAAACACTCAATGTAATAAAATGATGACATTAAATGGATGACATGCATGGGTGTGGCAGTGGGAGCCACTAGCCCCCCCCAAAAATAAAATTGATAAATTGAAAGTGAATGGGGGACAAACAAAAGAAATGAGAAAACGATGAAAGGGGATGAAAATCACAAAGTTGCTTTAAAATACTAAAAAAAATGGCCCCTCTTTAGGGAGAAAATCCAAGCCATGCCCAAGATGATATGTGTCTTTGTGCATCAAAGATGTCTACTACGTAGATTACTCAAGTCCGTATTATGCAACAAGAAATCTAAATTTAAATTTGGAGTCAGAGCTTTTGTTATTACATCCACATCCTATTTGCATCATCCAGAATAAATGCAATGTTGCTTTAACTCATAGTCACTGCACTATTTCGAACCACCTCGAACAATCCACTGGTGTTTCAAATCTCACACTATAAAGGATCTCTGTCTGAATCCAGAGAATTCACAGTTCAGTGTAACAACATTCCAATAAGTCAGTGTGGCGGATGGTACTCAATGTCACTCACAGTGGTCATGGGTTGCTTGCAAACTGAATTATCGAAAAGTGGAGTGACTTAAGTTATCTCGAAACCAAACTCAGTACTGAAGGGAATCAAAGATGACAGTACATGTACCTCTAAGCCATAGCAAATTCATGCGCTGCTGCGTATCGGCCAGTTACACCATGGAAGATCTGCCTCTCAATATCACCCAACAATGAGCTTGCCCCAAGACGGAACAGGTCAGGGGTCAACCAATCATTTCCTAGCTCTTCCTTCATCAAGGCTAACCATGCACATGAATCCTTAGCTGTGCGTATACCACCAGCTGGCTTGAAACCAACCTGGATTTGGAATGACACATACAAATATGATACCGACTTAGCAGATATAACACCCTGCTGGACTGCTATCAATTGGTTGAATGAGTAGCAAAGGTTAAAGGTCAGAAATCCATTGAGATGTAATCCACTGTAGCCCTCTGATGACCCAAACCATATGGTGGACTCTTTTGACACGGTTCTCCAATCATCTAATGCAGTCTAATACATTCCTCAAGTGTGCAGAATGTATACTGCTGTTTCATGTGCATTTTCATGGAATACTGGTTATTGCAATAACTTCTCATCATCACTGAGGCTCAACTTTGGAGTACACTAGGACTGCCTAAGCCTATAGACTACCCAAAAGAATACGTCATGCACAAATTTATGTGTGTGAATGGCATTAGTGACAAAACTAGCACATGAACCAACATCCAAGTGCTCCATTCATTTGCACTACACTTCCTGGTTCGAAATGAAGGCACACTCCTGTATTCTATACCACAGCAATCTCACATCAAGTCTTACCCTGTATCCTGTCTTCTTGTGGTATTCTCTGATAGCTCTTACCATAACCAAACCAACAGGAAGGATGGCATTCACCCCTTCCTTACCAGTTGATGTTTTGATGAAATCAGAGCCTAGAAGCCAATCAACACCCATGAAAGAAACATGTCAGTCCACGTAGTCATAATGAAGATAGGTGTAACCAACACCAATTCCAATGAGAGTCCAATTAGTTAAGCAAAGTGAAACAACCTGTAATTTACACGGGTTCAACGATACAGTGATTAATGTGCATTACTGTTATTCCTACCTGCCATCATTGCTACTAAGCTTGCTTTGTACACAGTCACTAATGAGCCTAGTTCCCCTGTAGCTAAGATAGTCTTCATATGAGCTGGTCCACAAGCCTCACGGAATGCTCGGACCTCTTCATATACACCTAGACAGGGAGTCATGACACAAGAAGATTACATTGAATTCACGAAACTGGGAGGGCCAAACCAAAGTTGTAAACCTGGAAATAAAACAGCAATGTCAAACAAATAAATTTTCTAACCGAACATCCAAAATGTTAATTCAAGAACAGAATGTGAAATAATGACAGGCTTTTTTCCTCACAGCCGTGGTTAATTTAAATGTGTTCTTTACCTGCTGAAGGTGCTAACTTAAAATGAGAAACACAAGATTTTCAACCACCTTTCCAGTTGCCAGCTAGAGCATAAGCTCTGTTGATGACAATATCAATCTCCCTAGCTCCATCCTCTACAGCCATTTTGATCTCTGCAAGTCTTGTCTTGAAGTGTGTCTGTCCAGCAGGAAAACCAGTAGCAACTAAGTACATGAACCAAGGACAAAAGACTGTCATCATAGGTGTCAAGAGGAGGCCAGCAAGGGAGGCTACTTGCCCCCCCCCCCGCATCCTGCCCCCCCCCCACAAAAAAATTGAAAAATGAAAAATGAGTGAAAAGTAAAAAAAAANCACAAAAAAAATGAAAAAAGAAAAAAGAGTGAAAAGTAAAAAAAAAAAAAAAAAAAAAAGGAAAAAGGGGAAGAAAATCACTATTTTCTAAAAAAAAAAAAAAACCTCTAGATTAATCCCTTCCTGTGTTGTTCATCAGTTCTTAGCTGATAAGTGATTTGGACCTTCCTCCAAAGAAAGAAATTTGCCCCCTCCCCTAACCCTGGAAACAAATCCAGGTGACGCCCATACACAACACTCCGGGTACATGACAACTTCTAAGTTCAGAGACTGTACTGCAATTTGCTTGACAACAGCCCATCAATGAAAGCCATAAAAGAAAATCTCATATATTGAAAGAAAACACAATTGGGATCATTCATGTTTTAAATTCTCTTCATGGACACACGCAGCGTGCCCTGATGATGGATTAACAACCTGTTTATACTTTCCATTATCTGTGCAAGTGATAACCATCATCATTCTCCTGTGAATGCTTTCAGGGGGTGAAAGGACATCAAACTGAAACTCTTGGTAGACTCAAGAGAGCAATGAAACCAAAGGATGGTGTGTTGGTTACCTGATGCAACAGGGATGTGAGAGGCTCCTAGTGCTTTCAATGTTTGGACAGCATCAGCCACTCTTGCTGGGTACACACAGACCGCCCCAACTGTCAAACCTATAACGCATCAACACACACACAACTGTGAATACTCAAACATCAAGTCATTTCTGATAACATCTTGAAGTAATGTTTCCTCCAATTTAACCTGTTTGAAGAGAGTTCACTTCAGAAAGCTTGTTTTATTTTGAGTTTTCATTTCTATAATTTATCTGCAATTAACAGCTCTTTAAAAATGAAATTCTGTTTCGTTTCTTGTAAATGTTGCCGTTTTCCATCAATGACCACTTACCTCTGTCTTGCATGCCAACAGCTTCCAGGAGGTCAGGCCTCATAGGCTGTTTTGCTTTGAAACAAAGTCTCCCCACATTGGTCTCTGTATCATCACCTGACAAGGTTGTTAGGTCAATACAGGTCATTGCCTTTAGCAACCAGGCAATCTGATGGGAAAATAACAAACTGAGTATTGATTACTGTTATAAACAAGCCCACCCAAAATGAACTCACATCTCAATAAAGTACATTACCTCTTATTGTCATTAGGTCTTAATTACACCTTAGACCAAACAGTCAATATTGTTTTTAAATTTATGCTTGAATGTGTATATGCTATTACACATTACACAATCAATGTCCACATATGCTGACATTAGTTCACAGTAATATTTGTTGGTGGTTGACCGTTTGTGATACAAAGTTCATGATATGACTGACTATCCATATCACACAATAGTCAGGGCTTTGCAGGTCACATAATACGGTTCCTGGGAGCCTGTCTCCAGGGAACCCCCTTTGGGTCGGGGGGGGGGGGTGAGAGCATTCATGATACCAGCAGATCTGCAATGTGCTATGCGTGCTGCATTTGGCTCCTTCCCAACAGTGGCACGTACCACAGCCAATCAGACGTTGCGTATGTCACGTTGGCTGGGATTTTGGGCATGCTCGCTACACTTCTCCTTCACTGCTGAGCGAATAGTTAGAAGTCAAAAACCTACCCTCCGCAACGGAGGCGTGTCCCACTTTGTGTACTTGCATGCACTAGTGGAAAAATGCCAGAGCCGGTCCTGGGGTGGTAGCAGGGCTTCTTCCAGCCACTCATCGTTCGCTGCTCAAGCAGCAGGAATACAGACACCCACAGGGCTCCGTTCAGGAGTAGCATTTTGGGCATTCGGGATAATGGGGAGGGGGCTCGGTCTCTCTGATAGGCCTGGATGTGCAGAACTAGAGGCCAATTATCCTGGCAAGGGCAAGCCTATGGCAGTTGACAACATGCTGACAGGCTGCACGAGTCATGACCTGTTTTGGGCCCCAGTCGCGGGATGGTCTGGTGCAGGGCAAACTTACTGGCGACTTGCCACACACACAGTCTCTCGGTTATTGGCCACCAGCTAAAGGTTCGGCGTCTCGTGCCCGTTACACATGCATCACAAAATCCGACGTTTCTTGGCCGTTACTTATGCATTATTAAATCTGGCGTCTCTTGCCCATGACACTACAGAGAAGAGTTCTTTTGTGATAGTGGTGCTATGTTGTTAGCAATAAGTATTCAACTAATAGCATTGTTGCCTTTACATTTGTATGACTCAAGGTGATTCTGGGGCTCCATAGCAATATCTGTAAATCTTTAACATTTTGCATTTGTGATCTCAAGTTGTGGCTGCAATAAATGCTTGGCGAGGAAGGGCTGCAGCATGCCCAAAAAGAGTTCCCCCGTCCTCTCACTTCTCTGCAATTAAATGAACCATCAGCTCAAATCAATCAGAAGAAACAGACCTGTGTGTTTTTCTTGACTCCCCTGCGAACTTTCAACTCTTCTGCCCTTCTGAAGCATGCTGGTTTATTCACACGCACACTCTCAACCCATTCCAAATCTAAAAGCATTATTTTGAGATACAGAAGAAAATATATTAAATTAACAGAAATGCATCTATAACAATGGCAGTATAAAAGTACAGTCCACCATTGGCAGTTAAATTCAAACAGTGACTGACGAAATTATTGTTGACAAGCGGACCTTGTTTAAAGATGGTTATGGGACTAAACTCCCAGTGAGATTACTCTTTCGCTCAAGATGTTATTTTGAAGAAAGAACTGAAGAAGGCCATTCCCATTGAGAGTCTAAAGACGCATACACGTACACTGTATTTGGAAAATTGCCAATAGAAGCACGTGGAAGTGTTGACATGACAAACACGTGTGTGCATGATTGCTATAATTCGTCTGTTTAGCATGTGACGCCACATACAGCTGTATTCAACTGAATGTGGGAACGTGCCCCAGAGGCTGATTTTAGGCACAATTCATAACATGACTCAGCACATTTGACCTGAAATTGAAATCCTAGAATATTGTTTCTCTTGGAATATAAAGTATTCACTCAGCTGAAACTTCATCAGGTTAGTTCTCAGGTACATGTACTCTTCTTAGATATGGAGCAATTTTGTTGCCTCAAAGGAACATCACGCACAAGTGATAAATGATAGATTGAACAGTGCCTTTAAGAGCCAATGTGTGGATATTTCCAAGCAGTGATGACTGTGTTCAATATTTGCTCCATGTAATAGCATAGCAAAATCACACAACAGAGTAAGAACAGACTTGGATAGACCGGACAGACCATCCTCACAAATTACACATTTTACTTTAGTAACAATGTAGACCAGTTTGCAGATGTCCATGTACAGTGTGTATATCAGTGGCTGGCCAAACCAATAGTCTCCACTATTAAACAAGTTATTCACAAAATGTTAAAACCTCACAAAACTACATGTATCAAAACACTAAATAAAAAAACACTACCACTACATGTTCATAACAAACCTGACTGGGGAGTCAGGTTAGCAAGGTAGTTTTTCCTCGTCTTCCACCTCTGTGGTCCTGGGTTCGATTTCCGGCCCAGTCCACACGTGGATTGGGTTTTCAGTCCCTACCTGACTCTGTGGGTTTTACCCAGAATATTCCTCTGAGATTTTCCTCCCACTTCTAAAACTGTAACTGCTTCTTACTGTCTCCCCTTTACTGATGTTGGTGAATGTGGGTCCTTTGGCGGCTGCCTGAGGCGTCCTTGTGTGCCATCGGCTCAACCATGTTTAAATGTATTCATTGTTCCACGCTTAACGTCTTCATTGTACAGCGCATTTGAACATATCTATATGAAATTTACACTTTATAAATGAATAAATTATTATTATTATGAAACTAAGTCTCGCACTAGCTTAACGGGACAAATGTTGACTTTGATTACAAAAATTGTTGGAAAGATGAACCTTCTGCAAAGGAAAGAATTCCACACCAGCTCATCACATTTCATTAGCATCACATGTAGGTGTCATAGGCAAATAACGAACAATAGTTTCTCCCTAAAATCTTCCTCAAAAAGAAGACAGTACAGAATTCTTCCCCTGGCAGACTGTGCCTTACAAAATGAAAAAATGAAACAAAAGTCCAATGTGTTACTTTAGCTCGGAATACATGTATAGCTAGATTTCCACCTGTTAACTTGATTGCATTCTTCATAAGTACCACCTGCCCTTGCACAAACTCCTAAACAATAATTATTCACAATGTTATGGAAGCAGATTATACATACATGTAATCTGGCTTTTGACTTATTGCAATAAACCTCCAAGTTAGCCACACCCCTTAGACAACTCCACGGAATTGTGCATGTTGAGTTTTATTGATAGTTTGTGAGTGGTAGTCCCCTCAAATCTTAAAGATATGATGTAAAAGGAATTAAATGTGGTACACACTCTGTCCGTCTGTGATCAAGTCAATATTTCAGAGCTATTTTGGGGGGCATAATTCTGTATCCAGCTACTGTGATTTTTGAGTTCCGCAAAACACCAACAAGTTTTAAAAATAATATGTGTATGAATATAACTTTTCCGCAGAAAGTTAAGATTTTCAAATTGAATGGAATGGTTTGGAATGAAATTACAAGGTGAGATAGAATTGGTTACGTTTGATGGCAATTACGAGGAGGCCAACTATAGAACTGTCACTCAAGGTAACATTAACGTAAGTAGGGAGGATTTTTTGTCTTACTTTAGAGTACTTCCAGAACATGCACTGATAACTTTTGAGGCACAGTTTGAAACAATAGTTTGGTACAAAGCAAATAAAAGTCTCTTGGTTGGAAATCCGGGAACTTCCGAGTATTTCTGCATAGCATCAATTGGACAGGAATAGAAGTGGAATTTTGCCTTTGTGTCTGTGGTGTGTTAAAAACCATCAAATGCATGGTGATCTTATGTATTTTCCAAAGTTCTCTTTGTTTTTCCTTCTTCCAGAGAATAAATACTGAAGGCAACAAGGCAAAAGAGGTTTTGATAATTCTGCGATGTGAATTTGCCTAGAGCAGCAATTACACTACATGCATATAAGTTTAACTACAAATTGGATGAACAGCGCCCTCAAATTTGGAGGTGAATACATGTATGCCTAGCCCGGTGCGGGTGTTGGTCACTTCGCCCCGTTTCCACTTCGGCCCATTCCCGCTTCGCCCAACTGATCATTGTTCATTATTTTCTTTTTAGTATGCAACAAATAAAAACGTCGACAGTTTGAGTACCGAGCCAAGTCAGAGGTTCCCATTCAAACAACTTGCCAACGCAAATGTTATAACCATGACCAATTTTTGACTGCGGGTTGCATGTATCAATTTTATTTCATTCATTAATCTAACCTTATCTCGGCAAGGGTATCCCGGTATGAGTTGCACAACTTATCAGAATTCCCAGCTTCACTTACATGTAATACGGGCTTATGTCTATGTCTATGTGTTTTGTATGATGCCTCTTATATCCATCAGCGGACCACATTTGAAGTGGATGTGAATTTGTGGAAGGCAGTTGAAAACTTTCATCATTATGTAACCGCCTCACTGACTTCCATTTACTCTAAAGTTGGTTTCGGGAAAAAGAAAAAGTTACAAGAAAGTATTTACCAAGTTCGGTACCAGGATTGCGCGCCGCCATCTTGCTCTGTCTACCATGTCTACGAGATTTACAAACGTTCTCGAGAAAAGAAACTCGCAAAAGTACAAGAACCATTTGTATGTAATAATGGATATAAATTGTTTGTCACTTTTTCGAACTGAATCCTATTGTAAGGTCACCAGTGGGAAAAAATTAGTAGGCCTATGAATAATTTTCAAGAATCTACAATATTTTCCAAACCCTCGCGAGATTTCAGTCGACAACAATGTCAGAAGCGAAGAATGTTGACACAGTACGCATGTTTGACAGGCGATTATACTTTATCATGTTTATTGTGCATATTATGTCATGTATGTGGAATGTGACTGTGAGGGATGAAGAGAACGTTGTCTGAGTTACCTCTGAGACCTTCAAAGTCTTCATGAGAACATTGTAAAGGTAGGCTAAGACATTGATTGTTTTGGTTCTGGAGACGTGGGGAATTAAAAGCTGGAGACGTGCAGGGATCAGGTCAACTCGGACCCAAACCAACTCGGACCCATTCCATCTCGGACCCAGGCTAACTCGGACCCATGACCAACTCGGACCCACGCCAACTCTGACCCAATACTAACTCGGACCCACGATTATCTCGGACCCACAACCAACTCGGCCCCACGCCAACTCGGACCCACGCCGTTTCGGACCCACCTAGAGTCAACTCGGACCCACTGAGTCTTATGGTTGCATTACACCAAATACGCGCCCGTACACCGAAATAGCGCTGACTCTTCAACCTCGCGAAGAGGTTGGCCTTCATTTTTTCGTTCGAAATTCAAGATTATGGACAGAACGATCACTTTTCGTTTCAATTTTATGAACTTTTTTATTCGCCATTTCCCGAAGATACCCCCCTAAC